GAGTTTACCGCTGAATGCTAGAGGCCCTTGCGGTCAAGTTAAGCAGCTTGATCATGCCAACGGCGACCGAGCAGTGGATGCTTCGATAGCCGGCGCAACAGTATCCCTCCGATAAGCCGGCGGCGGGCGCTTCCGAGAAAGGGAGATTCGTCGCCCAATCATAATGTTGATACCACGCCTTTTGCCGCGAAAGCGCCACAACCGCCCATCTGGACACTTCCCTACTCTACATTACCCATTTCTTTTTTAGGAACCCCAAATTGTGGCGATTTCTTCCTTTATTCGCCGTCTTACAGAGCTATTCTCTGTCTTGCATTAAAAATCAATTAGGATTCCAAGAGAGGGTGGTTCTGCTGCAATACTCAGGATGGCTAAGCTTTTCTTTTGCACATTTCTGTTGTTCAGCACTACACTGGGCACTACACAGCAAATTCTATGAATATTAGTGCAGGATAAGGATGTAGATCCGTGTCGTCTTCATACGATTCAATCAGGCCTACCAGAGGACTGGTGAAAGCAGTAGGCCAGCAGCTATGCGTAGACACTGATGGAATGTGTACCGTGAGGATATTTGTTAATCCGCAACCCTTAGAGGGTGTACAAATTTGAAAGGGGAAGCGATTTGGTGTTTCAACCCACACAGTTAACTTCAGCGGCTAACATCAGAGTTAATGAATGCATGGTTTGCCTGGCCCGGGCTCGATCCTACAGTTCACCTCCCAGACCAGTGCTCGGCTCTTCAGTGTAACTTGCCGTCATGCCATTTCCGCCTTCATAAGAGAAACGATGACAAATACACATTTGACATCATTAACCGAGCTGTGTCCCCCTCACAGGGTATCGCGTGTGCAGTTACCGAACCTTGACTGCTCATTGAATATGCACTCGCTTTCCACATATTGTGAATTCAACAACATCTTCAACAGCTGTTACATAATTATCTAGTCGTTTTTTGGTGCTTCCCGATGCCGCACGGAAAAAGCCGCCTCCTTTCATATTTTCTTCATGTTGTTCATGATACAGTCCATATCTCAGTCTGGCTAGGCGAAGCTAAGGACCTGACGCTTGATTTTTAATTGGAGCAACGCCGCATTTGACTGAGATAAGTGCAGTGGATAAAGCTGTTTCCAGCATGCTTGCTGATATGGACAGCTTAGTATTTTAGAAGCTTATCCACCTAATTCCATCAAGTAAGGCGTACGCCCGCCAATGCATAGCAAAGCTCAGACTCTTCGAGATATGGGACTGTGCCTATGATGATGCGCTGCTGCGACGCCGCATAACATCATCACCTGCGACGTTTCATTCTGTAATGAAAAAAGATTTCATCGGCACTCCACACCTACGGTTAAACAGAGCATGAAGTATACGGCGGCTCTGTTGTATGCGAGTCGTGCACGTGGGCTTGATAAGAAAAGCGTACTGTTTTGAATGGGCGGTGTATTCGTTTGCACACTATTGGGAAAAGGGAAACGGCGTTTGTACTAACGAGGTCGTTCAGGGTGTGCCAAGCTTTTTAAAACGGTTTTTGCATGATATAGGGGCACATGCGGGAACCACAGAACCATGTCAATTTTTCCTGAACGGCCCTCTGAATACCAGAAAAAGGGGTCCCTAGTTCGATTCCTCGTGGTGACAAATTTTTGCATTTCGAGTTGACGTTCCAAAATTCGCGCAAATGGAGTTAGCATGAATAATTAGTACCATATTCATGATTAGGGACCGTCAGTAACCCTTACAAATAGACTTTGATTAAAAACTGGTGAAAAAGGTGTGACATCACAGTGGGGCCGTTTTGGTGTCACACCTTTTCACCAGTTTTTTAATCAAAGTCTTTTTGTAAGGGTTACTGACTAATTAAAAATAATTATGAGTATGGAAATAATAAATAAAATAATTATGTTCATGCTATCTTTGTTGCGAATTTTGAAACGTCAACTCGAAATGCAAAAATTTGTAAAATTCATACGAGGAATCGAACTATTGACCCCCCTTTTGGTGTTTAGAGGGCCGTTGAGGAAAACGGACCATAGTCACTCACTCGCCCGACACACAACTGGAAAAAAAAAAAAAAAAAAAAAAAAAAGTTCGCACCCACGTGCGACGGACGGCGTGATAAAGGCCGCCGAGTGTGCCTGCAAAAAGCCGTCTCCCGGATTTCCTCAGATCTTTTCCCAGTGCACACATGTGTAAGCGATGATAACAGCTCAGTACTCGAGATGAAATCGTTGCCATTCATCGTTTTCTTTTTTTTTTCCTTAGCGCACAATACCCACACCAGAAATCAACTGGCGGAGTGGGAGCACTATTCCTCGAGATTTTCACAGTTTCGGCACCAACCTATCGCAATTGCTGCCTCCGGCCGGACGCATAGTCGGTCGGACGACAGCAACGATCGCAAGTGTCGCACAGCATTGGGTGCGTATCGATCTGCGACACATGCGACACTTACGACCGCTGCTGTCGGACGACAGCAACGATCGTAAGTGTCGCAGATCAATACGCAGCTACTATTCCACACTACAGTGGGACTTTCGAAATACGATCACGCGCAGTCACGTGTTGTCTGGGTTTGCATTGGGTGACCGCGTCGCCTTCCATTTGCAACCGCGGTTTATGCGACACTTGCGGTCGTTGCTGTCGTCCGACCGACTATGCGTCCGGCCTATGGTTAGGTCACCTTTCTTCCTATCGCAACGAGGTGTTTTTATAGATAAACACTGCTATTCATGGTTTATTACTGTCTTTGCCGAAAAGACTGAAGCGTTGATCAAAGTCACTTCTACTTAAGAGCCTCATATTGCAGGAGACGGACATCAAAAGAAAATCTTCAACGTGAGCGAGCTTCACAAAAAATAAGTAGAGATCGCTGCCCTCAAGGTTCACAGTTTTTAAGAATGCAGTATAGAATGCAGTATAATTGCATGTGTAAAGCTTACTTTCCAAAGCTGTGGAGTGTTTCTTATTAAGAGGCAGCGTCGCGATAGCCTGATCCCCTAAATGTGGAAGTGGAGGTGGTGAATGGTGCATTGGTGAAAAAAGTTAAGGCTCCTTTCATAGTTTGCGGTCCGTGCGGACCGGGAGGCGCCAACTGCGCGCCAAGTACGCATTGTGCGCCAGAGCGCGTGTTGACGTTCTTCACCCTGTCCGCGCTGTCCGCACGGACCGCAAACTATGAAAGCAGCCTAAGAGAAGCGGTCAAAAATTCGACAAAGGGCCCTCCATTTGTTCATCAGGTGATTTCAGGAGGGGCAAGTTTACTACTTAAATAGAGGTCGTATCAATAAAGTTAAACACTGGCATCTTGCCAACGGCGATCAATAAACATTTCAAGTACAATGCCGTTATCATCCTTTCCATATGCCGATATAGGCGTTCTATGGGCAGAGGGATTAATGTGCTCTGGCACAGCGTAGTCTTGTTGCGAAAGCCCCAACCGTCGTGTACTTGTACACTCCTCCGCCTTCTATAATATATTGTCTTTCTCTTTTATGAACACAAAATTTATCATGATTTTGTCTCGAAACTTCCAACTAAGGCTATGGAGAGTTTTCGTAGTTTGTTAGTTTTTCATCATTGAGCACGATTCTTTATTCGAACAGGAGAGTGATTTCAAGTATTTGAAGTGGAACGAGTAGAAAGTACGCGAAGAAGTAATGCAGCTTGACAAAACTCAATCGCACCACTACCATACGCTTGGAGCGGTGCGCGCGTCATTAGCAGCTTTGACTGCGATAAAAAGTGAGCAGGGGCATTCTCAGAACAATGCGGTCGTTATGAGATGAGCTTTCTACATTCACCGAGGTGGAGTTTCGAGAGTTTATGAGAATACCTCTCTGAACTTTAGAATCTGAAAAGCATTGTTCTGAATATTATTACATCTCTCAAGAATCATTGTATTCTTTGGTAATTACAACACAAAAAGACCGAACACCGGTACGACGTAACACTCACACAAAATACATTCAAAAATTAATTTGCACTCGAATGTGAGGAAACTGGAGTGAGCTAAATACGTTTCTGAGAACAATAAGCCACTCTTGAAAGGGAATTTTTTGGAAGTTCCAAATCACAAGTGATTTTCAACATAAAAATACCTCATTAAACAATATATGACTTTGCAGAGACCAATAGGGCAGCCACAAACACTGGCGCCAGCGAATCACGTTGATGTGAACCAGAACCGCCATGGCCATCGACGAGTTTCTTTATAACTTCTCCATTTCTTCCGTGAGCTTCTCGATCTCGCTCTCGTATTCCGTCTTCCGACCAACCTTTGCTAGTTGGTTAGGTAACGGAATAATTTCGCCATTGTTTATTCGTTCCTAGAGAAATTTTTAGGTGTAGAAACGCCTATAAATTCGTTTTTTCTAGGCTATACAGCTGCTCATCAAAGCATTTTGTACTAATTTACCTGCAGCTTTCTATTTTCCGTCTAATTTTTAATTTCACTTTGTCGATTTCTTTTGAATTTGTTCTTGTGGTGTTATAGCCGCTTTTGGTTGAAATACAGCTGTAATGATGAAGATTTGCGAAACTAATGACCGATCAATTGTTCGTTAACAAACCTGCTATGGGTTTACGAGGTCCTGCAGTTGCCTGCTGCATGCTGCGTGGGGTCATTCCTACGACCACTCGACCTCGGCTTGATGCTGCTACTTGGCTTGGGTTTTGGTATTTCGGCTGCTCTTCTTGTGGAATATATCTAAACAACGTTTCAGTTTTTCTTCTCAACAATTTCAAAAAAGCGCGCTTCAAATTAGACTTCGGCACAAACATAACAAAGGACTGAAGATTTTTCTTTGTTAATAGACAGCGCTCCCGGCCACCTGGGAAGCACAAAACGCAAACAGGATCCACCAAAGAAACGTGTACATACGATGTAACCTTTTCTAGACAGTGATATGCTGCTAGCAATGAGCATACAATGAAAAATAAATTAAATAACCGCTCTCGCAAAAAAAGTTATTCAGGATTTTGCATTCTTTTTTGGATTTTTCGAGATCTGAACAGTTTCAAGTGATCGAATACAGCGAATTTATAAGTTTATTGTTGTGTATAGCGCGGGCAACGTATCCATGGATAAATGACAACCCATAAGGTCACCGATGTGAAAAAAAACTCGCTTTATCACAACAGTTCTGTCTTCTTTTTTTATTGACTTGTAAAGTATGGATGTAAAGAATTTAACCATGAATGCATTAGTGCAAACTCACCTTTTTGTTACCGTAACGCTATTCGCTTTTTTGTACTGTCTATTGCGTATCTGCCTATTGCTACTTGTTATCCTCAATTCAAATTTCGTAACTACCAAGATTGATTTCCCGCGCACGGAGCTTGCAAGCTCTCTATATTTGTGCTATATGTGTAGTATGACTACTTCTCTTTTCTGTCTATGTCTGTAGCCTCCTTTTTCAGAGCCACAAGATATACAGTAGCGGTCAAAAGTCTTCGCCGAAATTGTTTTTCGACTGTAACTTTTTTTCCGCTGAATCAAATCAATTCAAATTTTAATATGTTTTAGAGATATTCCTACTTCACTTAAACGGCATATTTGTTTCGGATTGAGAGAGAGTTAAGAATGGAAAAAATCATTTCACTAGAAATTCTCGCGTATGAGCAAATTCCAAGTAGGTTTCAAATTACTCTAGCAAGCTTACAATTCAACAAAACAATCTTACGCATGATGAATAACACTGGGCAGGTCCAATACTTTGTTAATGATCTTCTGGTTCGCTGAAATACTAACAAGGCCTAAGTAAGGAATCAGTCATTGAATGCACTGTCTACTAGGGCAGCTTCCTCCACTTCTCTT